TCTATAAACATTAAACAGTTTTGTCAACAACTGATGGCAGTAGAATTATAATTAGATCTATTTGTGAAATTCATTATACAGATAAAGAAAATTGGATGTTTTCCTCTGTGCTAACTGACATGTAGAACAACCCTGTACTCTGCCTCACTGCATTTTGCTGCTTTAAAGAATAAATGACAATGTAGAAATAATACTGTAGCTGTGTTTCTTGTATTAATTATAGGTCCAAAGGCTGTATTTAAAAGTTGAGCGTATATGATAATTTGATTTATTTTGCAATTGGCTGAGGTGTTCAGCTGAGGAATAGTGTACAGCAAAGGAGTTTAGTTCTCAATGCAGATGGGAAAATTGAATAGTTTAGCCATTAATGAGGTTTCTGAAAGAGAGGGAGTCTTGATAACTCTCTAGTTATGTAGTTGTGATCATTTTTAGTGTAAATTTTCAGTTTAGTTTAACTGTTGAAGGCTGTTTGTTGTGGTTTGTAGGTCAGAAGCCTGTATTGATGGTACACGGTAAAATTTGACATATGCTGATTTTTGGTAAGTTGAAAGCTGATACGGGGTGTATTTTAAAGACATGCATGGACAAATTGTAGCTTTTAAGCTCTTAAACTATGACATATGGAGATAATCTTGGATTATGTAATCTAGGGCATGCTTGAGTAGAAGTGGCCAAACATACAAGAAACCCAAGAAATAATCCAGCATTTCTGCCTTGCTACCACCTTGTCTCCCTCTTCCTGTTTCCCTGGCCAGTGTATCTCCCAAGGGAATGGGCCAGGGCAAGCAAAACTTGATGCTTCCAGCTCTGACTTTCAGCTGCCACGTCCTCTCTGCTTTCATCCAGTCTCTATACTGTAACTACTACTTGACCTCTTCCCATCCAAACCTTCTTCAATTACTTTCCGTTATTTTCCCATGTTCACATGCCTCTCTTTCTCCAGAAAGACCTTATGATGTATATGTCTTGGTCTGCAGATGACCAGGTTGACACGGTAGACTACTGTATTTAGAAACTGAGTGTGTATGATACTTCAATTTATTCTGAAATTAGTTGAGGTGTTCTGCTGAGGAATAATGTATATAGAGAAGGAATTTAGTCCTCAAGGCAGATGCAAAAATGGGATTGTATACCATCCCATTATGTTGGTACTCTGGTGTCAGACGTGCACGTGTTTGGTAGTATCTAACTTCCGGGATGTTATTCGGGGCGTGATGTGTTGGATTTTTTTTTTCCCCTCCAAATAATCTGTATTTAATTTAGAAATAAATTAAATCTTCTGTTTATGTTTTATGAAATAAAAAAAAAAGTTTGTATTTTACGAAATAAAAAAATTACAGTCTTCCCATGAAAAATGGATTTTGATTGTTTGCCAAAAGACAAAACCTGTTATCTCTGGCAGAAGTTTTAGAGAGAGTTGAGATTGTTGTCTCTCCAAAACAGTTTTACAGAAATTTTTTAAAGTGGATTGTTTTATTCATACCTAAATGAAAAATACTTCTCTGGTAACAATTCTGGAGATGTGTTTTGTCTTTGCTATGCAGAGTAACTTTGTTCATTTAGCTAAACTATAGCGTAAGAAATCTGTTCCTTCCGCATATAAAATCAGGTCAGCAGTTAGATTGTTTTCAGTTAAATGACAGACATAATATCTGTTTAAAGTAATTTTTATTACTCTGTGTTTAAAATGTAGCTGACAGTGGTGAGGTAGCAAATGTCTAGAGAGCCATACGAGGGGACAAAGAGATAGACAGCTCAACTTCATGGTCATTTGTTACCAAGGGAGTTCCAGAGTCAGAAGTACTCTCCTAGTTCTTAGTAGCTCTTCAGGATTTTTTTTATATACACATGTCCATTCACTATTAAACCGCATAAGTTTTTCATGCTTACAGGAACTTTGACCAAAAGATTGCATAGGTTAGCTACATGCTGGCTGAATGTCCTTTGTTTTTAAGAAAGTACATACTATTTCCATATAATGCCTAACAGTTGTTACATTGAAAGAGGTTGGGAAGGTCTGTTAGCTGTGTGTCCTCTCTCACATGTTGCTCCTCAGTCTCCTGGTGGTTCAGGAGTCCTCATTTTAGTCCTTCCTTCTGGATTCCTTGTGTTTCCTACCTTTCTGATGCTTGATGCCCTTCTCTCAACCTTTTCATTTCAGATATGTCCTCCTTGAGGTGAAAGAACTGCATATTGTTTTATGTGGATTTAATCAGTGGCATAATAATCTGTTTAGTCCTTTGCTAAATAAATAACATCTTGTCCGATGGCTGCTGAACGCTGAGTTAACATTTCCATCAATCTTTCTGTACGAACCCCAAGATCTCATTCCTGAGTGCATTCAGTAAGCTTACAACAGATTACTAAGCTTGAATAGTTTTTTCCCCATAAGCATCTCTATAAACATTCACACCATAATTTACCATTTTGTAATTTAACCAGTACATCTTAAGTTTTTTTTTCCCAGTCCTTCACATTTGGTTCCCTTATTTGCTTCCTTCAGACAGCATCTTCATCGTTGTCTTTATAACCTCATGTATCAGGAGCCAGCTGATGTTCCTGGGGCACTCCCCTGGGTGCCTGCTTCCTCCTGTAAAAACTAATCATAATATTTCAGCTAAAACTTTCTCAAGTCCTTTAAAGTTCCAAAGCTAAACAGCATCCAGTCCTCATAATTTCTTCTTATTTCGTTTATTCTCTAACCTCTTCTTGCGACACCTCAGAAGAGAGAGATTCATTGATTCTTTCATAAAGAGACATTTCAGCCTGGAAATCTCTGAAGGCCTTTCATAGTGAACACAGATACAAAAAAAGTATTTTCTTTTTCCTACCAGCTCCTTTTATATATGACTGTCCTTTACATTTTCTGACAAGCTTGCTGACTCCAATGTATATGAAGGAGGATTTGTTAGTTTTAAAAGTTTTTCCTCAACTTTTTTTTATGTGCCTTAACGTGTTTCTGTAATTTAATTTGTTGGAGTTAACAATCCTTTATGTATTCCTCATATGACAAAATTTCAGCTTTTTTAAGATCTGCTCTCAAGCCTCTGTTCTGCCACTTAGCTATGAATGCTTCCTTTTTCTTTTTTCTCAACTACTTTGTGATAGGTGGCAGAAAAGTTAAAATACAATCTTTTTTATTACTTAAATTGTTTTAAGATTATAAAAAATGTAGCGGTCTGAATGAGATTTAGTTAGTGTATGTTTATCTGTGCAGGTAATTGTGAATCTGCCCCTGATAATTGCAGATACAGGATTCATTTAAAATGCCTTTAGTTCCTGAAAAAGTAATGAGACAATTCATAAATATGAAGAAGATAACAAGGATATGAGCAAGAGCTTATGTGTCTCAGTAAGGAATCATGTCAAAATAACCTCATATCCTTTTATGACAAGGGCAATGCGTGATCAAGTTGAAAATATTCCAGTAGAATAGTAGAAGTACAAAACTGTTTGCGTAAAGCTGCTTGGAGAATGGTTGTGAATGAGGTTCTGTCAGAATAAAGTATCCTGTGGGACATTGCAGGATATGTGTTGAGATTAGGTTTGTGTGGTGTTTCAGCATTTCATTACTTTGTTTCAGAGTTTGTTTATTAAATTCCCAGGCATCACTACCCTTGAAGGGATTGAAACTGCACTGGAGGGCAGCTGTAGGGTTAAAAATAATTTGATAAACTGAGCTGAGTCTCAAAAAAATATTGTTACTTGGCAGGATCAGATGCCAAAGCAAAAGTAATCAGTGATGCCATGTTTGCATGGTGTATTCAAAAAATACACACTTCTTTCTTTTTCTTTTTTTTTTTTTTAAATTTTTTTTTATGAGCTAGAAAGTATTTAAAATGTAAAGTTATTCTTTGGCTTTGAGCCTTGACTGAATTTGCACTTGTGTAAGATTGTGAACCAGTTAACTGCAAAAAGACAACAGGACTCATAGGGGAAGACCTGTAGGTCCATTAGTATGAAGTTTAGAAGATTGGGCAAAGAGGAGGGTATGTGATCTAATGTATAAAAGATGGATTGCAGAGGATGGTAGAATCTATTTTTCATACCTATGTCACACATGAAGTAAGTAAGGGTTTAAATTAAAGCAATGAAGATTTACATTGGAGAGTGAAGGGGCAGGGAGGTGGGGGAATCCTTTCGGCTAGCATAGCACTAGACCTGAATGGTACTAGGAAGTTGCAAAGTTATCTGTCATTGGAGATCTTAGGGAAATCATAAAAACATATGCCACATAGTTGTGCAGTTACTGTGACAACGAATAGAATAGGTGACCTCTTCAAGTACCTTGTAGCTCTCACATTCAGCACTGAACTGGTCTTGTCAGCATGAACTTGAGGACTTCTAGTCTCTCATAGTGTAGAGTTGAGATTGTAGAGCCAACCTCCTGATCAGGATACTGACAGTGATAAGGAAATGTTAAGTTGTAGTATAGAAGCTGCCAATATTTGACAGGAGTATTAGTGTGAGAGTTCAACTACTCATATGTAGACTGTACCATTGTTTTATTGGAATGATATGTAGCAATGGAATTTTTGCTCACATTAATTGACAGATTTTTAGTGAATCATGGATCTGACCTTGTAGAACATCTCTTACTTTCTTCATTAAAGAATGTTTATTTGCTCTGAGGCAAATAAAAGATTAGCTTTGTGATAGTCATGTGTATGAGTTTTGTTCTTTATTCTTCATAGTTGTATTATTTTTATACCTGTGTAGACAGTGGTTTTCATATACTTTTAGATAAAGAATTCTCACATTTCTACTCAAAGAAAATACAGCATTTTCTTCTTACTTAGTCTTTTAGTTAGAAAACTGAGACATTTGGTCTTACTAATGACCTGAAAATGGTCAGATTTTACCTTCTTCAGAGAAGTACCTTGGAAAGACTGCTGTAGAAAAGATGCAAACTTCTCATGAATCTACTAGATTTATGTAATCTACAAGTTTATATACTTTTAAATCACCACGTGCATTTTTCTTTTTTTGTTTTGTCTTAGGAAAGGAGACTGAGAAAGCCAAAGATCGGTGTGATAAAGCCACTATGAAGCTTCATATGTTGCATAATCAGTATGTGTTGGCACTGAAAGGAGCACAGTTACATCAGCACCAGTATTATGATACTACACTTCCTCTGTTACTTGATTCACTACAGAAGATGCAAGAAGAAATGATTAAAGCCCTGTAAGGTGTATTCTTAGATATTTTTAACTTGTGGAATTTTATATGTGTAGTATTCCAATTAATTTATAGGATTATTTGAAAATAATAAACTGTGATTAATTAATTGTATATCAAGGGATAATGAAAAAAGATGTTTTCATCTTTCAGTTGACAATAATTGTGCATAGAAAAGTCTATCCAAATAATGCAGACAATAGTTTTGAGTGACTACTTAAACGTTCTAGCAAGACACTTGTGTTCTCATAAAACTTTAAAATCTTACAGATTAATTGCAGTGTTTATAGCTGAGCTGATGCATTGTTCATCAGCTGGTATACTACGGCAAGTTTGTTGCCTCTCGGTAGTCTTATATTTATGAAATTACACCACCAACAAATTTGGTTTAAACTGGCCAACTGTCATGAAAGTCATTGTGGAGGAGGGCCAGGCAGATGCATGGTTAATCATATGTGTGGAAGAAGTAACAGGATCATATAAACCTGATCTCACTGAAGGAATCCAACCTTAAAAATACAATTACCTTTTTCCTGAAAGATCATTTTTTACCTCTTTAGAGAAGATGCGCAAACTGATGTTCTCGGAGAACAGACAATGAGGACTTTAAGCCCTCTTTTCCGGTTTGTAACCACCATGCTGCCTCTTTGTCTTTCCTGAAGAATGGAAGTTGGTTAGGGAGTCTGTTCTGTAGGTTTTTTCCTGGGGTGTTATTTAAATTGCTTAGCCTAAAAGAAAGGGCAGTTACTTTTTTTTGTAAGTATTGTTCGTTTAGATGTAAGGCACTCTTCTATAACTCACTGTCTTACCTTCTCTGAAATCTACATTCATCTTGACTTCAGCACACATGAAGTGAGGGAAAGTTGGGGATTGCACGCTTTACATGCTTATGTGGTGCAGATACCATTAACTGCCCTATGCAGTATCATATTAATTCCTTTGATTCTTGTGCAGGTAGTGAAATGAAATAGACCTTTGTATTAGCCTCTGTACAGTCCTTTTAATCTTAATTTTGTATGTAAAATCACAGCAAAAGGCTACAATTAAATTTGTGTGCTGTAATTAAGGTGATTTTTCAGAACTGTGAGACATGATAATTCACTGAAGAGTTTTATGATGGAACAAGAACCTATTGAACCTGTTCACTTTGGCTATGTCTGGAGTAAAAACCTGTAAAAAAATATTCTTGTCACTGCATAATTTCTCCTTTCTAGTATCTTTGGTGTACAAAAAGAGGTGTGATTTCAGGTGTAGAGCTTGGTATGGCCATCTGCGTGAAACATACTTCCTTAATAATTCTGATTTTGCAGATGAATTAGTTCGGTAAACTTGAAGTGTAGATTAACATTGCTAATGATTTTTTTTTTTTTTTTTTTTTTTTGGTAATTGACATAGATTCCCTTTCTCTTCGATGTGGCATTAATGTTAATGTAGTTGACATTTGCCTATCTTTTTGTCACACTCTTTGAACTATTTTCTGGAGCCTTTTCACACATGTTGTTCACAGGCAAGGCAAGATTTAATGCCTTCTCTTGTTTGTTTTCTCCTCAGAAAAAGTATTGAAAAAAATCCAATCACGTAACTTTTTTTACAGAGTAATGTAACTTGAGATCTTATCCAGGAAAAATCTACTGATAGTTTTTTCTCTGCATTCCTCTGGGCTCGCCAAAATTAATCAGTATTTTAAGAAAGCTCACCATGCTTCAGAGCCTGGCAAGCTAGCAAGTTTGTCAAAGATAGAAATGAAATAGGAAATGATTATGAGGGTTCATTTATGGAAAGCAAAAAGTTGAAGAGAATAGGAGCGTGTTCTGAGGATGTGTCACTGTATGGTATTAATAGTAGTGGCACAATATCATCTATTGTTTTACCATTCCCTATTCACTTGGTTTTTCCCACTCTGGGAAGCACGTAAAGACAAGGCTGGGTGGCTTGTACTTTCTTATAGGAACTTTTTGCTTCTTGTAAATTTTGTTTCTTCTTGTAAATATATGCTCATTTGTGATTTATGCTTATTTTTGTCTGAATGACCAAATCATAAAATAAATATATGAAAGAAAAAAGTTAAAACGAGAAAGAAAACCAGTTTTTAAAGGAAACGCACACTATTTTGTGACTCATTTTGCCTTATGCCAGAATATATTTATTTTGTCAGTCAGAACATGAAAAGCTTTACTGTAGGTTATAACAAGCATGATAAGTCTTTGTGAAGAAGAGTGTCATCAATGAGCTGTATACATTCCTTTTCCTTGTAATCTCTGCAGTTTTTATTTTAGGTACCCTGTATGTAGATACACCGAAATCAATACAAGGAGCATGGTCTTAGAGACTTCTCACTTACCGCCAATCTGTAAAGAAAAGGCCACAGTTGATCTGTTATTTCTTTCAGTAATATATTGTCTTACTTTTTCCCTTTTTAGCCAGTTGCAACAAGAGTTTGTAGGAACAGCAAATTGAAAGTTTGAAGCATCTTCAATGCCATCTATACCTTCAGTGCCATGTTATACACTAGAATTTTTTTTCCTCTCTAGAAAAGGAATCTTGGATGAATATAGCCAGATCACCAGTCTTGTAACAGAAGAGATTGTGAATGTCCATAAAGAGATCCAGACCTCAGTTGAACAGATAGACCCTAACTCTGAGTATAATGACTTCATAGATACTCACAGGTATACATTTTCATCTTGGTGTGCATGTTCACGTTCCTTCTTGAGAAAACCCTGCATTAAACTGCAACACTGTTTAAGTAATCAGAGTTGAATTTGTTTCTGTGTGGTTCCTTTTACATTGTTACTTGTAAAGCTTTATCTTAGTTTGAAAATTGTTCTATTTGCATGTACAGAAAGCTGGCTGAAAGTCAGGTTTTTACCTTGACTGTTTCTTTAACGATCCATCTCTTTGGCTGGCTCTAGGAAAACAAAATTTCAGTTACCGCCATTACATGTGAAGAACCGTAACTTTGGTACTGACAGCAGACTATACATGACAGTCCAGATTCAGTGTGAGCTAATTTACCGTGTATTTGGATGCAGTTTGCATTCTAGTGTAGACTTAAGTTTCTCTGCTTTATTTCTCTTATTGTCCAAATTCTAATTCAAAGTGGACTTTAGGTACCTCTGTGTACTCTGCCGTTACTGCAGGTTGAGCAGTGCCTGAGACTACAGAGTACGCAGATAATGCACGAAAGTTTTTTACTTTAAAAATAAACTGTATTTGCCATTTATTGAACTGTTACTCTGTATTAGTATATGCAGAAATAGTCCTAAGACTTCCTGCATTATCTTTTTTGTTGTTATGTGCAAATTCATAATTGTCATGTGCAGGTTTATAGCAGGATCAGCTAAGAGTGGACCCATTCGCATTGATACCTCTTGAGAACCTTGGTTATGCTGTGATCTTGATTCAAAGAATTGTATGCTATTTTGTTATCTGGTATGATTTTAAGATTATGTTCTTTATTCCAAGGAAAAATAATATGTATCCAATTGCTACCTTTTCTTTTACTTCATATATAATTTTAACAGTATTCTAGTTATTAGAATAATTCAAAACTTAATGATTTGCTTTATGTTCTACTCAAAGATACATGTTAATTTTGAAAATATTTATTTACTAAATTAGGTCATCAGAAGTTGTTGAACAAGAAATAGAGTTTGATACATCTTTACTAGAAGAAAATGAAAACCTTCAAGCTAATGAGATCATGTGGAATAATCTAACAGCAGAAAGTTTACAAGTCACGTAAGTCTTTCTTTACAAACCTTTCATCCTTTGGAAATGCTGTTATATGTTATATCTAGGCTCACTCAGATCATTGCATAGCTGTGTCCTCGTTTTTAAGGTCCAGTTTCTAAAAATAGTATTTTCACACTATAGACACTTTCCCATACTGGTTTTATTGTTCCTTTGCACAAAATACTCCTCCCCAGTCCCTCCAAAAACTTGCCAGCACTTTCAATATATGTTCCTCTCCTTGCCAGTTAATTTTTACAGTGCCCCAAATCCATCATGAATACTTCTTGGGAACATACTAATTCATCTTCCCAGAAGTGTTTCCACATTCAGTACTCCAGGAAAAATACTGAAATCTTTTGATGAAACCACTGAGTACAGCGATGTAGTCAGTGATTTAAATTGACATGTGGAAAAATTTCATGAATGTATTTTATTTCACTTGTTTTGTAAGTGTTTGCTTTCGTTTTCCAAAGGAAATCCTTATTCATTATTACAATCTTTAAAATACATTAATTTACTAACACAGACGTAGCTGTTGTATTGCATTTCATGGAGATTTTAGCTATTCAGAGATAGTTCAGAGTTCCATGTATTTTGTTAATATATTGTCTGGTTAAGTTTCTTCATTACTTTTACCAACTTCACCTTTAATCATTTGTTACTGGGGAACAAATCTCCTGCTGAGGTTATTATGTTCTTATTATATTATCTGCCTAAACTTTCGACATAAAATGGTCTGATACAGTGACTTGAAACATTGCAACTATTAATTGTACATTTAATTTTTTTTATATTGACCACGGCAATTTAAAATGGAAAATTAACAATTTCATTGGCTGATGATGTTTTTTTTGTCTCTGTGTTTCAGTCCATGTTTCACTTATTTGAAGTTTTTTTCCTTTAGAAAGCATAACTGATCCAAATAAGATATCAATGGTGTGGTGTGGGTTTTTTAAAGTTTTTTTTAAATTTTCATCTGCTTAATAAAACTATGACCCTTATTTCTTGTTCGTTTTTCTGAAAACCAAAATCACAGTAAGTCCTAATAGCAGTGAGGTATTTCAAATGTAAACACGTTGCAGTCTCTTCTGCAGATTATTCTAATCCCTGTGTGTTCTCAACATGACAGAATCTCTGGATTTTATTAATTGCTTTTCAAGGTCATTAATCATCCTCTCTTTTTCCTGTGCAATCTGATTACTTTTCATAAATGTATTCCTTACTAGGTATTGAAATAACCTTTTTAATATGAAGTTTTAGCCTCCTTTGTCAGACTCCTCCTTAGTCCTGAAGCAGCTTCATCTTAATATATTCTGCACCATTACTAAATTGAGATTATTCCTGCTTAAACTATGTAAATGTTACACATCTAGATGTACTTCAGCACAGTAACAGGAAAAATATATATACTAAATCTCTCTTTTCAATAAAGTATTACAATTTTTCAAAGATTCTGCCTTCCATAGCTCAAAAAGAGATCTAACTTCTTATTTGGCTTGTCTTCTGTATCCCGTTGTTTAGAAATAAGACGTCACCACGTTTAAGTGGAAGAGATGAAATACTGCTTTTCTAGTAAATGATTCTGATGAAATGCATATTTGTGTTTATAAATGTGTGTCTGCATATTTGCCTACATACATACCTTTTCAATATAATTTCCAGTGTGTCCTGTTACAAATCTTATATTCATCCACTTCAAATTCTTTTGTGAATTTGAGAGAGAAATTTTATAGTGTGATATTATTTTTGGAACAGGAATCAAATGGCTCTTTTAAGTGTTGCTGTCTTTAAGGTGTTCACTTTCTGGTATAGATTATACTAGGACTCTGAGCAAAAAAGTTTTACTGTATTAGGTCAGACCAAAGATTGACCTAACCAACTTTCTTTTCTCTTACATTAGCCAACAGGGAAAAACCTAGGGAGGAGAACAAGAACAAGATGATTGTGCAATGCTGTTTCCTCAGAATGATCTCTCAGCCTCCCACAATTTTCAGCTCAGAAATGTTTTGAGACAGAAGTAGTATTTGTTTATGATAGCCTTAGGTGTAGTTTATAATAGCCTTAAAGGTTTTTTTCTTTCATGAATTTGTCCAGTCAGTTTCACTATGTACAAGTATCTATTGTCCACAGAATTTTTGGTCAAGGAATTTCAGAGATTAACTTCATATTATGTGAACCTGCTACTTCTTAGTTTCATTTTATGGCTCTTAAGCTCTTGTTTTGGAAGAAAATAGGAACAATCTACTCCTTTCTCATGATATTGTAGACTGTCATACTCCTACTCCATGATCTCTTCTTCAGAGCCATCATTAGCTCTGTCTGTCCTTTCACAAAACTTACTCGTACCCTTTATTAATCTTGTCATCTTTATTTGAATGTTTTCAAGGTTACTGTATTATTTTTGAGATGAATGACCAGAATTGCACAGGTAACCCAGATGCATAGTTTAGAGAGAGGCATAATGAGGTTTCCTGTATTCTTGTTCTGCTTTGTTTTTAACAAATCCTAGAGAATCATTCTGTTTGATTTTTCTGACCACTGCAGTGTATCAAGCCAGTGTTTTCATGGAACTGTCTACCGTAATTCCAAGATCTCATTTCTGAGTGGTAACGGTCAGCTTAGAGCCATTCACTGCATAAATAAAGTTTTGGATTGTTTTTCGCCTTGTATATTTGCTTATTTCAATATGCATTAAAATTAATCTTCTAAATGACAGTCCATAAGATCCATGACAGTATCATAAGATCCAGAATAATCCTTTTGTATTCTTCACATTCAGCCCCTTTGCCCTACCTCAAATAACATTGTACAGTCAGTATTCTTTGTCACTTTTTAAAATGTCCTTTTATTTGGATTATTACAGCAGTGCAGATATTTGTGAAGCTCCATTAGCTGCTGGCACTGTAAAAACTGTTTATTCTTATCCTCTTTGAACTTTTTTTTAATTGCCTTTTAGTGCAGGTCAGAACTCTTCCTTTTAGAACTGCTTAGTTCCTTCTAGCTGCCTTTGCTCATATACCTTGTTAACTGCGTTTTAGATGTATTTTGTTATAGTCTTGCTTTAAAAACACTACAGCCAAAAAACCACCACAGGTATTTGCATCAACTTACTGTGCATGACTAGAAATTCACAAGTAAGATAAGTATGTTACATCCTTTGTCCGTAGATGATGACTTTTTAAAAATCCATTCTGTATGTGCTGAAACAATAGAAATTTGACTGTTGATCTTTAGTGTTGAGATCATGGCCTTGGATCTTCAAAATACTACATCATTATATTTCTGCAGAGGAGAACTACCTTCAGTATCTACCAAATATAATAAATCCAGTACACACAGTAGGTTTATTTCACAGACTTTTAATAGATTCAAAGATCTATATTGATTCAGAATCAGTAATTTTTGGTTGAATCAGTTGTTTTGAGTATGTGAGGGAAAAATTATAGCTTTACATACATTACTGTTTAAAGGTTTTAATAAAATAGATTTTAGGGAAATATGATGAGAAAACTGGCTCACTTTTACATTTTTAGGTAAGTTTATATTTATTCATAAAGTTCTGACAGAGGGAGGTTGTTGAAAGTCAGTGTTGACTAGCTAACCTTTCTAAGTAATGAGAGAGGTATGGTGTCTCCTGATAAGTGTTGATGACTATCACTGACTAATATTGAGATACTCTGTAAAGTGTAACAGAATAAAAGTTTATGCTTCAAAGATGCATGTGTTGAAAACTGAGAGGAGGCAACCATAATGAAGTAAGTGTTGATCAGTGGGCATATGAATTAATATCCAAAATAATTTTTAAAAAATCTTCTGAAATGTAAGTTTTGTAAGCACAAGCATATATTTTTATTGGTATTTGAGGAAGAATGGTGCAAATGACTAAAGAAATGTGAAAGGCTGCTTTCCAGGTAGCCAGAACCTAGTTTGAAGATGCCTGCTTTCTAGATGTTTTTTTTTGTCTCACTTTATGTGTTCTCATGCCATTGAAACCTGACAATTTGGGATTGTGTGGTTGTTAAAGCTAATAAAGATTATAGTGACTAACTGGTTAGTAATAAAAACCTTTTTGTAAACTGATTTTATCCAGGAGGCAAATATGAGGCCACAAGAAACTTCCTTTGACAAATCAGAACGAAGATGATACAAGGCAGATGCAGACACGTCAGTTCTAGCCAGTTTGAATGAAAAATATCATTTAAAACAAAAATTAGAGGTTGAATACAAGGAGACAAGTTAGTTTAGTGTATTTATGGTTGGTTTGTTTTGTTTTCTCTAAGATAAATATAAACATCCTAAAGTATCTCAGAAGTTTTAGGGAGAACTACATCAACTTTCTATTTCAATCTGATGCTACAATAAAATCTGATATTTTTGAAATGGTAAAATATTTTAATGTTGTTTCTGCATGTCTATACTCATATCTTCCAGTGATGAACAATCTTATTAATTTGGTTTTAATTTCTTGAATATTGGTGCTTGATCATTAGATGTAACATCTGCTTTCTGTAAATCAATTGTTAAGCCAATACAATGTTGATTAAAATTTTGCTTAGAAAGCTGATCAAAAAGCAGTATCTGCAGTTAAAAATTGGTCATTACTTTTTTAGCAAGGTATTAAAAGAAAAAAGTTAGTTGATATTAAATTGGAGAGCCAGTGTAAGAAAATTCTCATTTCTGAGAAGTTCAGCATACAGATTGTGATAGTCTAAAAACAATAAAAATGTTTATTAAAAAGGGAGCTGTGGGGATATTACTTTGAGAGAAATGTTTTAAGCATTTCCCTTATCTCAAAATAAACACACGCAGATGCTTGTTCATTTGGGAAATAAACTTTTATCGTTCACTATATGGCTTTTTTATAGCAATTTAAGTCTTCCAAGATAAGATCCGGTTCTGTCTGAATAAAGAATATGTTTAATCAACATTGTATAAAATATATCAGGAGGAGAGAGAACTAATTCAACATTTAAAATCAAATTATTCAGTTTGGTATATATGGACATAGAATGTGGCTCCTAGATTTCTAGAGTCCATGTAGATTACTCTCAGTTGACCTTCTGTGCCACTCCCAAATCTGGAATGTTTTGGGCAATAGATCTGTGCAGTGGTAAGTACTATATGTATTTTGCCTTTGTTCCACTCTTTACTTCAATAACTTTTTTATTGAAATTGGGCATGAAAATACAGGGGAAGCAGAGTAAGATAGTTAAAGATGGATAGATGAATGCCAAGAGGAAATGAGATGTACATATTTATTTATTTATTAAAAAAAAAAAAAATTTCTCCTGGCTTAACAGTTGTTTAAATTCAACATATATATTTTGATATGCGTTTTAGAAGTCATCATTATATAAGCCGTTTATCTGCATTGTTCAGAGAGCAAATGTTATTGTCCATTTGTTGACTTTTTGGTTATTGGAATGTTGCCAGCATATTTGCAAAGTGTCAGTAATGGTTTTAATGTGTAATAACCCCTTCTCTGTTAGTATTGAGTGTTCTTGTACAAGTTTTATCTTTCCTTTGAATTAACTGTTACCAAAGATTGTGGGGCTTTAAAGAAGTTAATTGTAGAGAAAAATAATACACAGATCACTCTTACAACAGAAAGTGTCAATTTGTATTTTTGTTATTTCTAGAGATGAATACAGCCAACTACTGATTCTGTGTATTTATTTAACGTGTACTTCAGGAGTTGGAAGGCTTTTGTCTTTCATAAAGCATCTCATAAATTAGCACTATATTAGGAAGGCATTAATTCACAGAACTCATCACACATTCTGGAAGAAAATTTCTTGATAGTAGAGCCTGCAGGCAGCAGATCATTCTGTAACCTTGTATGCATACAGAGGATAGTATGGGATCTGTAATAATATGGGTTAATACCATAATATACAGGTATATCCACAAAAAAAGATCACCAAGCACTGAGTAAGATAATTTAAAGAGTAATGCTCCTTTTCATCTTCAGGAAAAAAAAATACAGTATTCTCAAATATATACAGTTTGTGTATTCACAGCGTGGGTTTCTGAAATCTGTCTTACAGGTTAAAAACAGTAATAGAAGAACTGATTCAGACACAGCAAACCCTTCTGAGCAAAGAGGAACTTGTGTTGGAACTAGAGAAAAAAATAGAAGAGTCCTCTAAGACTTGTGAAAAGAAGTCTGAGTAAGTCAAAATGAAATTTCAAAATATAATAGTTTGAGGGAAAAACATCTATAATGCAGTTCCTAAGACTTAAATAAGAAATAACCTCCACTGATCTTGTTCTGCTTTTGTGAGAAGTGATTATTGTGAAAAACAACAAGAAGTTTGTTTCCCATGTCTAAAATAACCTTTACCCACTGCAGATCCTAATTCGTTGGAGAACTGAGCAGCTCCATTAGTTTAATATAATTGTCATAGTGTTGGGATGGCTCAAGAACTGGACCTTTGGTTAGCATTATAACTTCAGCTTGATGGAAGAAGAGTCGTCAGTTCAGATTGCCTCTCTGATGGAGTTCATTGTGTAGATATAATTTTGTGAAAGACTTTTTCAAAGTCATGTGCAAGACTTGTACTCTTCCTTATGGAATAATGTGTTGAGTTCAGTCTTCGTTGCATTTTCTTTACAAAACTGAATGTAGATGTGATACCCTGTAGTACTGCATAGTAAATAATGAAAGCAAGGGATTGAGTGTTTTACAGTGCCATAAATAAAATATTATTATAAAGAATTGTTCTTGGGCAAGATCTTTAGGGTTTTTTTCTACCTCTCATTAGAAAAAATATTCACATCCCAGTCTAAACTGAAGTTAATACACAGATAAAGAAATCTTCTGTCTGTAGTGATGTTTTTCTGATTCTTGTTGCAATCAGTCATAACCTTACTAACTTGGTCATACATAGTAGTTTACAATACCAGTGAATTGGAATGCAAGTCCTCAGGTAATCCTGTATTCATTCACTGAAGAAGTCTTCAAGCTCTTTGTTGAAGGCATCTTGTCACTTGATACACTGGATAGTATTTAATTAATATCCAAAACTTTATGTACGTGTATGATATCAATGTTTTGATTAGATACTTTTCAGTTCTTTCTTCGGTGAAGTTCATATATACTCACAGTATATTTTCCAATTTTTGGTTGTTGACCTACCTTCCTGGGTGCCTGTTACTTAGAGGATAAACTGTATTTGAACTAGATGAGTTTTGTGGTGTTTCCCCCCTGCCCCTCCCCAGTATTCTTTTGTTATCAGTTATCTCTCTCTGAAAATAGTTCAGACCATCCACGTGATTCTTGCTGTGGGTAGGCTCCTTTGGCTTATCCTGTAGCAGGTATTTTTGGCATTAACGAGATGATTTCAGCTGAGAGTGCACCAGTACCTGTAGGTCTTATTAAAAGACATGAAATCTGGCTTAGATTTCTAGTTGTAAGATAAAAATTTCCCTGAAATCACCTCAGTTCTGATTTGTCATTGGTCATGTTTTCCTCCAACAGACCCCGTTTTCAACTTTTAACTGCAGTGCAGAGTGATCAGGGTGTTTTTGCACGTACTTACGGTCCCTGGAAGATCTTGTCCAACTGTTGTGTTCTTGACTACTGTCATAGCATATGGCACTGGCCTCAGTACTGCAAAGTAAGGTGAAAAGTATTTAAGCAATAAATGAAAGCTTGCTTCTTGAGCCAGATGTCATTCTGTTGGTACAATGCAAGTCTATCATCAGGCAAGAAAGTGAGGAGGTCTACTCCAAATGCTCTAGACCCTATGTTATTTTTGAGCCTCACCCAAGGTGCTGAGCTTTGCCCTTCAGTGCTGAGGAAATCTCCTTGTCTGCTTTACCTGGGCAAAATTATGGTAGAAGTCTGCAAAATCATATTTTCTGTGTCTTCACTTGAATCAGTTTGGACTTCAGCTGTGTCCCCACTTCTTTCTGACACAGCTTCAGAACCATAAGTTTCTAAGTTTTGAGTTGTTCACTGACTTTGCAGTGGCAGTCTGAGTTGGGGCTTGAAAGCATTTCTCAGTGTCTAATTCTGGCAACACTACAAATTGATCTTTGCACATACTGCACTTTTCATTACGGCATGTACAAAAACGTATCTCCAGGCCTCTGATTTTGTGTTCCTCCTCAATATTTAGCGGTGTTGCTACTATTATGCTGGCACCAATATCCCTTTCCACCTTCAAATAATGATATCTCCTGCAACACAGAGAGGGTTTTAATTACATTTTATTTATATATGTGTATGTCAAGCATACCATCTGCCCATCCGATGTGATAGCATGTTGAATATTTGATTTTTGATTTGGTTCACCTTTTTACCACTTCCCAACCTGTTGCCCTCTTCTGGTCTTGCAAGGATTCTTCACACAAGATCTCACCCTGTGAGGTTGCTAATAGCTCTTGCTAGCCACAAGGGCTGTAAAGTTTGCACTCATAGAATCATAGAATCATTAAGGTTGGAAAAGACCTCTAAGATCATTGAGTCCAACCGTCAACCCAACACCACCATGCCCACTAAACCATGTCCCTAAGTGCCACATCTACACGTCTTTTAAATACTTCCAGGGATGGTGACTCAACCACTTCCCTGGGCAGCCTGTTCCAATGCTTGACCACTCTTTCAGTAAAGAAATTTTTCCTAATGTCCAATCTAAACCTCCCTTGGCGCAACTTGAGGCCATTTCCTCTCGTCCTATTGCTTGTTACTTGGGAGAAGAGACCAACCCCCACCTCACTACAACCTCCTTTCAGGTAGTTGTAGAGCACAGTAAGGTCTCCCCTCAGCCTCCTCTTCTCCAGGCTAAACAACCCCATAGCTGCTCCTCATAAGACTTGTTCTCCAGGCCCTTCACCAGCTTCGTTGCCCTTCTCTGGACACGCTCCAGCACCTCAATATCCTTCTTGTAGTGAGGGGCCCAAAACTGAACACAGGATTCGAGGTGCGGTCTCACCAGTGCTGAGTACAGGGGCACGATCACATCCCTACTCCTGCTGGCAAGCTATAGACAAATAATTTTATAGGTTCTAACTCCTCATGCATAGACGGAACGGGGAGCGTTCTGTGTTGGATTTGGGTAAACCGGTTAGACAGTAATCCATTTTGACACTTGTCATTCTAGCCAATGTGTATTCACCACAGCCCTATTGATGGTGGAAGGCCATCATTTTCACAGGGTGGTCTCTTTTTGTCTCATAATGAGGACCAGAGGAAAGGACATTACCTTGAGGATAATGCCAGGATAATTGTTCATTTCTTTGTGTGGTGCTCTTAATTGAGTGCAGTCTCATGCCAAACATCAGTTTCAGGTCCTCTAATTGTGTCTTCATACGTCATTTTTTTTTCATGTGAATGATCATTCTGCTTTTTGTAAGGAGTTCTGTTCTTTGTTGACTTAGTACAGTGCTCATCTATAGGGATATGATTTTTATCTTTTCCTGCCAATGAGGATTTTATGAGAGATGGTTCCCTTATCACATTGGAACCTGTTTGAATAGTGTTTTGGCTCAGCATCAGTTTGTGAAGGAACAGTCTCAATATCAATGACTTTTAAATTTCTTTTTTTCTCCAAAGGTAGGGCTTGCAGGACAGTCTGTCTTCCAGCGATTCTCCTGAAGATACAGAGTGACAGTATACTGTGATTTTTCTTTACAGTGTCTTCATTCTTCATAGTTCTGGTCCCTCTAGCTCCTTCATCTGTTCTTGAAGACTGTGAGAACTCTGCACCTCTTCACAGACCACATGTTGCTGGGCTCCAGTTGAGTGCTTTTGAAGGGTGTCTCTATTGTACTGTGGATGGTTCTGTCTGTTAGGCAGTTTCTGTCCTTCTTTGGTTTTGGCAGTTCTTGGGTATAATAGAGTCATCTAGGTACCTGTAGATGTTCTAAGTGGTTTGCTTGTCCTTCGATAATGCTTGAATTATGTCTGCCTTGGAGTATTCAGGGGTATGAGGGGTATTCAGAGAAGAGCCTTAAAAACATGCAGAAGACAAGAAAAAATTGCTTTTAGCTCCTCATGAAGTTCAATTTATTTAGCTTTGTGAGAAGAATGTTAGACTGCAGTCCAGAAATACTTATGCGGTAGAGGACCTTTCAGTCCAGAAGAGACAACAGATATCTCTAATTTGACACCACATGAATTTATACTGGATGTAAGGTGAGTTTAGTAGTGCAAATTATTATTACAACAACTATGTGGATTGCAGCAGATTTCTCATCACTGGAAATCATCGTCTAAAAATGTATTTCTTCTCTAAAGGATGAGGAACCCTAGTGTTTATAAATTCAATCAAAAGTGGATGAAAGTAGTAGTTTCATCTATATTTCTTACAACATGATTTTTGTGATAAATTGAGAAAAGAGAATGGCAAAGTAGGTGTTTGCTTGCGTTGTCTTGTAACTTTGAAAATTTTCTAGAATTGCTTCATGTGTTTATGCCTTTGAACAAATAATTCTGTTGAGGAATTTTCATGCCCTTATAAAAGTTTAGTAAAATTTCCGTTGTTAAATTAATGGGTAAAGTGAAAAAAAAGAAAAACAGGTTCCAGTATTGAAATTTTAATTTTTTTTTTTTAGCTTTTATGAAACAAAGTATGTATTTCAAATCACGTATATTTTTAAATTGTTTGTTATTTTTCTCTGCAGTATTGTACTCTTGCTGAGCCAAAAGCAAGCACTGGAAGAACTTAAGCAAACAGTTCAGCAATTAAGATGCTCTGAGGCAAAATTTGCAGCCCAGAAAGAATTACTGGAACAAAAGGTTCAAGAGAATGATGGGAAAGAGCCACCACCTGTAGTGAATTATGAAGAAGATGCCAGATCAGTCACTTCTATGGTAAGTTTTACATCTGTTTACTGAATTGTGCAGCCTTGCTATTGTATTTTAGTCCTGGGATCAGTCTCAAGATTTTCACAGGGATGACTGAAGTGAACAAACTTCACTTTGCATTTGTGGAGACTTGTTTAGAAAAACAGTTCAGTTGCGTGATTTTTTTTAAGTTGCAATAGCTTGTAACACCCTCTGTGTGTTCTGTTTGGTCTTCTGCACACTTGATGCTTAGATTCTCATTAGATTGTTTTATAATGACAAGTGTAAATCGTGAAATAGATTTAGTAAACATGACTGAGTAGCTATTGGTAATTTAATTGGCTGTGTTGAAGAAATACATTCACAGTTGTAGATAGAAAACTAACAGTAAAAGCTGTTAGCATCACTGCACACATTGAGTAATTGAGAAATGAATTTTATGTACTGTAATTACTCTTTTCTTTAAACAGAACCAAACGCTGGTTTCTTTGCAACTTATTTTTAAATGTTTACATGCTCTTAATAATCAAAAGGAACTTTTTGTGCTATTGATGAGACCCCGTGTAATTTAAATAAGTACTTTACTTTGCCAGTATTTTGTGAGTTCCTTTTCTCAGTTGTATGCAGCTATGTTGTAGAGATAGTAGGCCCCATAAAAAAGCAAACAAAGAGTACCTGTTTACTAAAGGGACCAGCAGTAGTGTTTGCTTTTATGGATTAGGTTTGACATATACAAGATGCTTGTGACTTGTTTTCTTTAGAGGTTTAGCCTGCCGTTTCTTTTGCCCCACAGAGCAGTAGCTCAGTGAAATGGTAATGAAATGGTTGTATCTGAGAGAAATACTTTTGTTTTCTCTACTTGTGGAATCAAGTTTATTTTTATTTCCATTCCCATTCCACAGTTTTACTTAATTGTCAGTATTCTCTTGCTTCCACTACTATTGTTTAATATTTACAAGGCACTAGCAGGTGGTTGCCATTTTCACTGGTACAAAACATTATTTTACAAAGCTTGTATGCTTGTCATGATCTAGGAGGAGTTGATAAAGCACCAAAAGATGGAGTAGGAGAAAGGAAGGATCAGGATAATGATTGTGAAAAATTAGGAGGCTTGGAATCTTTTTAGGGTAAGCTATCTTGTTAGTTATTTCATGTAATATCCTGTAGTAGCGCTAGTGAATATTGTCTGTGAGGGTTAGCTGAGATGATGAGTCTAATCAAGAGAACGGTATTCTTCCACCTCAGTTCAAGATTACTAAAGTCTGTCTTCTGGTGTCCAAATCTCTTTTTCAATAGATGGGAGAAAATAATCCTTGCATATATGTACAATACACAGTGAAGAATTCTGACCTCAATTTTTTTTGAATAAAAGTTATCTATGATAATTTATCTTTTTTTTTCCTGGAGGAGGTACATACTGAGATTTCTAGAATGATGCAAGAAATACATTTTTGCATACATTAAATGTACTGAAAGTAAGAAAAATGTTGCTATTTTGGCTTCAGAGGATTTAGTCTTATAATTTGTATGCACCATGAAAAATAATGGAGTATGACTTAAGTGCTGGATGATTTCCCTTGAGTAAGTTATTTAAGGCAGGCAAATACCACTTAAGTTTTGTTTAACTATTAAGTTGATATTCTGTGCTAGTAAAATTGACTAAAAAGTGGTAGATACAACTGCAGTCTAAATTAAACTTTTTTCAAATTGCTAGTACCTTGAGAGGGCAGTCTTGACTGTATCTCAAGATGAAAAAATAATACACTGATGGGGTGTTTGGATAAATAAGCATCCGGGTGATTTTTATAATGGTATTTTTTTTAGTAAAACTCATTAAAATTGTACAGGTGCTAAAGGATCAGAAATGAAAGGTTCTTGCTGCTGATGCTCATCCTGGTATCATTCAGGAGGATCATTGTTTCTTCAGCTATAAATCCGTTTAGGTTTATCCTCTTTATCTAAACGCAGTTCACCTAAATGTTGTCTGATACTACATTTGAATGTGGTTATTTATTCCTCTTCAGAAATTAATCATAAACGCTTGTTTTACAAATTCTTTTCTTACGAATGACAAAATCATAATTGGCTTGTATTGTGAGCATGCATATGAAGTAGATTTTCATGTATGCAGTCACAAGTGGAATTTTTTTTGGTAATTTAAAATTAAAAATACGATATACAAATCAACTTTGTAAAGTTTCATGTCCTAAGTATTTATATGGTATCATAAAAATACAGCCAATTTGATAGTGGAATGGTGTGCAAATTGTTTTGTTCTCCATCTCTTACGTTAGGTAACAATACAATAGAATACTAACAAGAAATTAATTTCTGAAAAGCTGTTTGATGTGTTTTTATAGACGGTGTTATGTTACGTCTCTCTTACAATTTCCTTTGTTTCCTTGTTCTTTTTTGCTTCTGTTAACAGTAGGAAGTTTCATATTTTTTTAGTTTCTTCAATATGGTTTGGTTTGGTCAATATATTTTATTGTTTGTAGAACGTTAGCTGTGTATTGGTGTTCATATACACATTTTAAGAAAAAATGAAATTGCTGGATGATTCTATTTTGTTCAATCATAATAGCAAGGAGTTAAAACAATCCTATTTCTGGCCATTCCTGAAGATTGCATTTAACAATTTTGGCATCATATGTGGAAAAATAAAACAAATTATCTTGTTTCTAGCATTTATACCTTCCTACTGAGATAACCATGCAAGACAGAGAAAATTTTAATGCTGAAGCTGCTACAAGTTTAAAATAGTGTCTTTGAGTACCTTAGAGTTACGAAGTTATGAAACTATGCACTATGTAATCGGAAGAATCATAGTTAACTTTTTCTTCTATACTTATGTTAAAGTAAGGAGATAGATACTAAGAAAAAGCTGGTTATCCCTTGTAAACAGCTGTTTTTTTCCCGAAATGTTGTAGTATTATTATATATTATGTCAGTTTAGAAAAATTAACCACTAACTGGAAGCTTGAAGTAACTTTTCAGTGTTTAGATGTTCGGTCAATGGGCCTGTCATTTGTCTTAAGATACATATGCTATTCTTGCTATAAATATGATTAACAGAGCATGGCTGTAGTCCACCATAATTAAAACAAAGAAAACAATAACAACAAAACTTTTATATGTCTAATGATCTGATTAGAACTAAAAACATCAGGAATATTTGGAATACTGCAGTGCCAGCTAAACATTTACTCAGGTGATTAAGTACAATGACGGTGGTTTGCATTTCATAGTAAGACTTGAAAATTACAGCATCAGTATTGATTTGGAAATTGTTACAGAATAGGAAATCTTCAGGGACTGCTTAAGGCTGGCAATAGATTTAGTTAATATAAAATAGTAATTCATTTTGTTCAGCAATTATACAGTGAAATCTGTATGCCACATTAATGTGTCTTCTCCTTTTTCCTTACATGGTAAAACGCAATATTATAAAGGTGCAAACCCATTATTTTTAAGAATATGTGTTTAAAACTATATCGTTTTTTCACTATAGAAGTGTTTTCATATAGATTTATTTTTGCATACTGCAGCATTATATTGGAACCACTGATAAAACTGAGACTTGGTATGCAGGCTCTGCAGTATTTGAAAGACTTGTCAGCAGGTGGAGCTCAGTGCCAGAAAACTGGTTATGACTGAATAATCAAAATTTTTCATTATTACATATGTTTAAAAAAGGTACATGAGCTAGAGAAATGTGGAGAAAAAATTTCGGTTCTCATCTGTCTAACATCTAAATAATCTGAAGTGGTGGTTTTGTTTTGTTTTGTTCTAATTTTTTGAGCTTTCTTACAAATAATAAAACACAACATGTAGTAATGTAGAAAGACCCTATTGGATGGTCTTTAACAGCATGTAAGCCAACTAGAAGAGCTGTGCAGTTATACTGCCCTTGGAGCAACAGTACAAAGTCACTGTTCTTTCTCCATATACTCCTTAAAAGACTTCCAGTCCAGCTTGGTTGTCAGGATGGAAGGCTCTGGAGTACAGGTGAGACAGGAAGGAGACAGTAATGTCTCTGGTAACACGCACTCATGAAAGGTACACAGGGCAAAAGGAGACTGAAGCATCATGGTACCATGATACAGCCAGTGGGATGGATCTAACTATAATGCACCATTCCAGGAGAGTGCCATGCTTAAAACTGTACACAGTGGGGTAACAGAAAATGCGTATTAGTGAGACATTTTACATTTCTGAACTCTGGTTTTATCTATTGTAGCAGAATTATCCAAAAGGAAAAAAATGTGAACATTCACTGCATATCTAATTGGTTTTACTATTTGTCATTCCTTTTTAAAAGGCTTCAGAGATCCTATTCTCAGTGATTGCTTTAAAAGTAATATATGCCAGCTTTTGGTGAAGATTTTGGTAAATAAAAAAAAAGTTATTGTGGTTATGGAAGAAAAAATATGAAATGCATGAAACAGTGCTAAAGTGCTAGTTTCATTGCTTGTAAATTATTCTAAAAATACTTTTTTATTTTTCCTAATGTGAATGCTTTATATTTCCGTCCGTGCTTTCTAATATCCATGACCCAGTGCTCCTTCTAATAGTGTGATCAACAAACCAATAGTCTTAGAGTCTTCCTCTGCAGGTTTGGGTTTGAGCAAAATGTTTTCAGGATTCTCACTAATCATAACTGACAAATCTAATTAATTTGTACGTTTTGAATTTTTTAAAGTCAGTTACATAGATATGAAAGATAATTTCCAGGAGTTGGTTGTGTGGTTATAGATGCTTCATTAAATGCATTTTAGATGATGATCATAAGGCCCTGAAACATAACCCACTGAGAGATGTACCCACACTCTTATGGGGTCTCCTTTTCCCACACTGTCTCAGGCTATATATGATCTTTATTTTCAAACAGATGCAGGGAAACAGTTAGCTTCTGTGACAGCCCATTGTAGCAGTAGCAGAAAGCTTGATGGTAGAGATAAAATTTTTATTTTTTTTTCTTACTGACTCAGATTAATTGACGCATTCCCATGCTTTGTTATGCGTTG